AGATAAAAAAAAATTTCCTTTACTGTAGTACTTTTGAGTACAAAGTGTGTACAGTAATGTTCCTCAAAATTATGGCTTTTTTACATTTAATTTACATTTAATATTTGTTTAATTTAAGTTTCTAGCAGTCCATGGTGCTTTAAAGACACAGGAGGTGTGCAATTAGTGGGTCAGAGGAGTATTGTTGAATTATTATTACCTGACTTCAATTGGTTCAGCAAAACGGATAAACGGGGAAAGGCTTTGGGGGTATAAAATTACAGACTTTGCTATAACACAGATTCATTCATGCGCATATCATATACTGTATATTTTTTTATTTTCAAATACCGTATATTTATTTCACCAAACTTTTAGATAAACTATTCTGGATTATTACAGTAAACCCTTGAATAACGATATTAATGTGTCCTCTGATATTGCAGTGTAAGGTGTATCGTCTTATTGCGAATCATTAATTAACATTAAAATAAAGCAATAATAATGAGATGCATTCCCAAGTGTGACCTTTTCATATCTTTTGTGGCTTTTTACCCTCTTTTCCCCCTGCTTACAGCCAGGAGTCCGGGATGATAGTTCTACACGAGAAAATTAAGTAAATAAGACCCTGGTTGTAGCTGTAGTAAAATTAATGTAAACAAATACATATTATACCTCTCTAGTCCGGCAACCTCGGGACCTGACCGGTGCCGGACCATGGAAATTTCCGGACCATGGAAATTCACCCTTTTCCTGGATAGATAGTGACTTGGCTTGGAAGCACTAGCACCACTTTCTCTGCATCATGGTCTCTTTGAAGACATATTGAAGGGTTAAATGTCATACAGTAGCTTCTCAAATTTCGTGAGTTTTTAATTCGACGTTTTCTATTTGAACACAAAAAAAAACATTTATAAATTATGACGGCGGAAACTCGAATTTCGACGGGTTTGAACGGCCCACCATCGTTCAGACGACGTGCACAATCTAAAAGCAGCGTCGTTTCTCTTATGTACAAAAGATTCATTATTGTTTTTTACTGAAAGTCTTTTTGATTGAATTAATATTTGTGTGTGCAAAATGAGCAATACAATTCATTAACAATACGTAGAATATGAAAACACGAGGAAATGAGACAGCATTCTTTTCGTTGATTACAAAACCAGTGACTAACTGGTTCTACATACAAAACTGAAGAAAATAAGACCTTGTTGTAACTGTAGTAAAATTAATATGGTTGCTTTAAGTAATGTTATTTAATTTTAATAAATGGAACAATAGAAGTAGCGAACGATAATGGTAAAGAAAAAAGAGAGATCACACGTGAAAACATATCGTCATTACTTTACATAAGAAAATGAAAGCAACACTTATTGACTGTTCATATATATTTTAATTAATGTTTCTGAATTTGTTTTTATTGAATTAATGTTTGTGTGTGCAAAATTAACAATACAATTTATTAATAATACGTGGAATATTAAAACACACGAGGAGATGAGACGGCTGCCGGCATTGTTTTTGTTAAAGCTTACAAAACCAGTGACTGATTGGTTCTACATATAAAACTGAAGAAAATAAGACCCTGATTGTAGCTGTAGTAAAATTAATGTAAAAAACTTAATATGGTTGTTTGAAGTACTGTACCTGTAATGTTATTTAATGTTAATAAATGGAACAATATAAGTAGCTAACCATTAATGGTAAAAAAAAAGTGAGACTGCACGTATGTAAGTGCGCACATGTATAAACATATTGTCTTTACTCTACATAAGAATATTAAAGCAACACTTTTTACTGCTCATATATATTGAAGGGTTAAATGTTGTACTCTGTATAGACAAGCAGAGAGAGAGAGAGAGAGAGAGCAGTCGAACTGCCGGATGTAAACAAACCTTAATTTCCCGCGGCTTTGTTGTCGTTTTTTTTTTACGGGGATTAGCCCACCCGGGCATAGGTCACTGACCCACATTGGGGCCTGAGGGGCAAAAATTTAATACTCCTGTAATAATAACAATAATTCAGATAAGTAAAAAAAAAAAAAAAAAAAGCCACCCTATCTACCTATTGTACAAACTAAAATCGTTCCGGACCACGGGAGTTTCCGAACCACAGAATGCCGGACTAGAGAGGTACAACCTGTATATATATACAGTATTACCCCGCCTAACGCGGTTTCACTTAACGCGTTTTATCATATACGCGGTGCCTCGCCAGAGCTGAACTTTCACTTAACACGGATTTTTTCCACATATACGCGGTGAGTGTCCGGCTCGAGACGCTATTTTTAGATTTGCCCCACCCGCCACCCTGCCTGACTGCCTGTTTTAGCTCATAAAATTCATACAAATTACCCGGCCAGAATATAATTTACATTGCTGGAATTCTTATAATTTGGTGATCATTTTGAATATAAACATCATATATTTTGCATTAGACATACAAATTTTAGATAAAATGTTTTCTCTAGTAAATATGTTATCTTTTGTGCAAAATATATGACATTTATATTCAAAATATTCCTGGTCTTACAAGGAATCCAGCAATGTCAATTGTATTATCCTAACTTTAGTTTGAGGTATTATTTATTAAAATTTAGTGGTTTTCCCCAAAAATTTCTCAGAGAGGGAAGAGCCAGCAGTGTAGTGTGAGAAGAGGGGGAGGGAGTTGAGTCCATTATTTGAATGGACATTAACTTGGCGACTGTATTTCTCTATTTCTCTGCGATAGGACATCCCAGGCCCTCCTCCAGTACCTGAACACGCCTCTGCAGGGTGTGACCAAGTCGCCCGCCCAACTCGCCACCGGCCGCCAGCTGCGTGACGGCGTTCCCGTGGCCAGGCAGCACTATAAGGTGGACCAGCACTGGCAGTGGGCACTTCGTATGAGGGAGGTGCGCTTGGCTGAAACCCAGGACGGGGTCCTTCTGTCGCGGGAAGAGGTGTCCCGCCAGCTGGCACCCCTAGCCGTGGGCACGCAGGTGCATGTGCAGGACGCAGCTACCAAGCTCTGGGACAGGACAAGCATAGTGGTGGAAGCCCGCCCTCACAGGCAGTATGCCGTCATGTTGAGTGGCAATGGCAGGGTGTCCATACGCAACAGACGCCACCTGCGAAAAGGCTCCACACCTGTGCCTACTACTCCGGTGGTGCACCAAGCTGTGCCTCCTGGCCCCCCTTCTGCTGTGCCCTCCTTACCCGCGCCCTCGCTCGCGCCACCAGCCCCTCCCCAGTCAAGCGCGGCCAGGCCCAGGAGAGGCCGTAGGCCCCCGGGCTGGTTGACGGACTACGTGGTGTAGTGTATGTGATGTAAAATTAGTTTAGAGTTTTGTTTTTGTTTTGTTTTGCTTTGTTTGACTGATTTTTCTTGCATTATTGTTTTTTTATGTGCATTGTTTTCCTTTTGTTAGTTCAAATGTGCATTGTCATTTCCTTTAAACTTGGGGGGGGAGATGTAAGAATGTACCATCGTACGATATGTTTTCCCATGTTGAGGTGGGGGGGCTTGTCAATGGCAACGCCCGGTTGTCAGTCACCAGCTGAAGCTGTTAGAATAAAGTCTACAAAGAACATGATCTATGATTCAAACCTCTCACAGTATGAATTTTATGAGCTAAAACAAATATCTTCAGTAAATAAAAAAAATATACTTCACCCAAACACTATCTGTCAATCAAAATACCCCACCTTCGGCTTTTTGCCAAATAATTTGGTCTTAAAAACTTGAACCACACACAGGTATATACGGTAAATAAGGACATGGGGGGGGCCAGGTTTGTTTTTGGGGGGGGGGGGCAGCACATATACGCGGATTTTTAACATCCACGGGTATCTCTGTTACATAACCCCCGCGTATGTTAAGGGCCGACTGTAGTGATTAATTTGACAAAAATTTTAGTAATTATTTTGATTACATGTAGAGTACAGCTTTGCCCTTAGGACAGTGTGTGCATATAAATGAGTTTCAATAAATGAATAAAGTTACATAATCAAGCCAAAAATATTAGTTGAAAAACTTTATGTAGACAGAGCTTGGATGGATAAATTTTAGAATGACCAATAATTTTAATATAAAAAATGCAAAAAGAAAAGAATGTAAACATAGAACAGATTATTGCATTGGCGGACTAGCCGATCAGCTGATGCTCACAACAAAACGAGTTTGTTCTTAAGGATTTTGTTAATCGAAGTTTTGTTCGTTAATCGAATTGAAGATCCCTATGGGAGGTAATTCGTTAACCTCCCATAAGGATCTTCAATTTGGTTAATGAACAAAACTTTGATTAACGAAATCCTTACGACAAACACGTTTTGTTGAGAGCATCAGCTGATGGGCTAGTCTGCCAATTCAGTAATCTGTTCTATGTTTACATTCGTTTCCAGTGGAGTAAATATCAAGAAAGTTGTGCTCTTTAATATTTGTGCATTTTTTATATTAAATTATTAGTCATTTTAAAATTTAGTTAATATATTGATAATATATGCAGTACAGGGAACTCGTTTTTTGTGCGCTCATCAGCTGCTTGACTCACCCACCAGGCGTCCGTTTGGCTTTGTTTATAGTGGAGTGAACATTGATTTTGTTGGTGTCTTGAATATTTTTGCATTTTTACATTGAAATTATTAGTCATTCTGAAGTTTAGTTAACATGTTGATAATATATAGCGCAGTGCAGTGTTGATTTAAATAAAATAATCTTGAATTACACCTAGTGAACATTAAATTTTATTGGTGAAATGACGGCATCAAGCATGGGTCCCCTGAAAGGTGATTTCTCCTCCAACCCCACTTCCTTCTCTTCTCCCTTCTCCTCCATCTCCACTCAGATTTAAATGATGTGATTTAAATCATAACAATACCTGCTAAATGGCATATGCAGTATTGGTAGACCTAGATATAAATATGGCTGTTTTCAAGTAAATTACAGCATACTCTCTTGTTTTTCATACTTTGTCCTTTTTTAAAGTACAGTACATAAAATTAAAAATCAAATACTGTATTGTACCAGTATAAATGACAAACCTAAGTAAAGGCCCACTTCTATCTTGCTTAAATCAGCTACATCTGGCAAAGGATCCTCTTCACAGTCCACCATTGTGTCGGCTTGTCAGTAAAATCTAGTGACGAGATACTGAAAAAAAAAAAGAGGAATCATTCTATATCCCACCTTATGCCTGAGCCCACAACTATGTGAATCATGTATTTACCCACCAAAGCTATAAGATGGAAGCCCAGGCAAACCTTTCTTATTGGTTGATGGAACAAATTTACAAATTGATTATGCCTTCCCATGATAACCAAGTCTTCAAACGAATTTCTAATAACAATCACCATTCACGGTAGAAGGCAATCGCCCATTTTTTCAAAAACATTCAGTGCATCATGTCCGAAGAAGAATCCCGATCATCAGGTCAGTTTAAAGTGAACCAAGAAATGGATTCATCAAAGCTGTTATTTAAGTTTGACAAATTCATTGTCTGGTTACTTAGAAGTGAACTGGTGTTCAGGATTCCTCTTCGGACTTGCTGCACTGAATGTTTAAAAAAAATGGCTAATCAATCATAAGTTCAAACTAGAGTAAGTGTGCATCTTGCCCAGCAGCTGGATTGGCCATACTGGATTTCCAAATTTCAATCCATCCTGTGAAAATTATTTTGTATAATTCCACATAATATTAACTTGTAAATGAAACCATGTAGCAACTTGCCCTGCGGAGCCCTAAAGTATACTGTATTCAGATATTAGGCTTGTGCAAATTCAATGTGAAATAGGCTTGTTGTCAGGGGTTGATCATGAATTTCTCACAATAATTCGTATCATTCATGATTCACATATGTAAAATATAAATATGTAGTTGTGATGGTTTATTACCATTAAAAAAAATTACTGTAGTCTGATGAGCGTGTATGGCCATCGGATGGTTTCACTGGATAGAGAGGAGTTCACTATTTTTCATGAACTACTTTTAATTCTGGTAAATTAGTTATACAGTATTACCCCGCTTTACGAGGTTTCACTTAACGCGATTTCTCATATACGCGGTGCCTCGCCAGAACCAACTTTCACTTACTTAACGCGGTTCATCTACTCATATACAGTCAACCCTCACTTTACGCGGTCCCACATTCCGCGTTTCCGCGGTGCCCTGCCAGAACCCAGGTTGCTTACATTCCGCGGTGGGTGTACCCCTTTACACGGGTGAAGTATAATTTTTTTATTTAGCTCATAAAATTCATACACATTATCCGGCCAGAATATAATTTACATTGCTGGAATTCTTACAATTTGATGATCATTTTGAATATAAACATCATAGATTTTGCATTAGACATACAAATTTTAGATATAACGTTTACTCTTGAGTAAATATGTTATCTTTTGTGCAAAATATATGATATTTATATTCAAAATATTCCTGGTCTTACAAGGAATCCAGCAATGTCAATTATATTATCCTAACTTTAGTCTGATTTATTATTTATTACTAAAAAGGTAAACAGTCTGGTATTCCCACACATTTATCTAGTAGGGACGTTGGTGGGGGGTGGGGGGGAGGGAGGGAGGGACCGGCGACCGACCATCTGTTACCATGTGAAGAATATTTTTTTTTTTATTAACTGAAGATTTTTATTTTAGCTCATAAAATTCATACAAATTACCCGGCCAGAATATAATTTACATTGCTGGAATTCTTACAATTTGATGATCACTTTGAATATAAACATCATATATTTTGCATTAGACATAAAATTTTTAGATATAATGTTCACTCTGAGTAAATATGTTATCTTTTGTGCAAAATATATGACGTTTATATTCAAAATATTCCTGGTCTTACAAGGAATCCAGCAATGTCAATTATATTATCCTAACTTTAGTTTGAGGTACTATTTATTACTATACCTGGTTTTCCCCCAAAAATTTCTCAGAGGGAAGAGCCAGCAGTGTAGTGTGAGAAGAGGGGGAGGGAGTCATGTCCATTATTTGAATGGACATTAACTTGGCGACTGTATTTCTCTATTTCTCTTAAGTATTAATTGTGTGCATGTACCATCATAAAATTAAGATGTTATTTTTACTAGAACATAGGTATTGTGTTGGAAAAAGTGGAGTTTGGGGGTCAGCTGGTCTCTATTTCATTTAATCCCATATGTTATGTTTTTCACTTTACGCGTTTCTCACTTTCCGCGGTACCCTGTGGGTTACATTAACCGCGTAAAGTGAGGGTTGACTGTACGCGGCTAGGTATAATTTTTTTTTTATTTAGCTCATAAAATTCATACAAATTACCCGGCCAGAATATAATTTGCATTGCTGGAATTCTTACAATTTGATGATCATTTTGAATATAAACATCATAGATTTTGCATTAGACATATAGTACAAATTTTAGATATAATGTTCACTCTGAGTAAATATGTTATCTTTTATGCAAAATATATGACATTTATATTAAAAATATTCTTGGTCTTACAAGTAATCCAGCAATGTCAATTATATTATCCTAACTTTAGTTTGAGGTATTATTTATTACTAAAAAGGTAAATATTCTGGTTTTCCCACACATCTGGTGGGAGGCTCTACCCCCAGGACCCCCATAACAAAGCTCATAATGAAGCAACCAACCTAACCTAACAAATTAATGCAATTTTCTTGAAAACGAATCATTTGCAACAGAAACGTTACTCAGAAAAGCTGTTAGAACTTATGAGATATACCTAGAAATGCAAAAAAAAAATTGTGGGACATTATGGGCAACTTGTAAAGAAATACTGACAAAAATCAACCAATTTATGACGATGTATATACAATAGATATGGTCCGTTATTTCTCATCGGCACAGAAAGTGTCATAGAAGAAATTCATCTTACTTTTGTTAGGTAATGTGGTTGCAAACAATAAAATAACAGAATTCGAAACCTAGCTACTATCCTAAATTGACCAAAAAAGTTGATATTTAGCTATTTGGACTTAAGATATAGGTTATGTTACCTTTCAACATTTCTGGATAGTCATTATTTTGGAAGTACAGTACTGTGAAGTCGATAGTTGAATTCAATGAAAAATACAAAAATATCACGAGGGTCTCGACATCGCCACCATATCTTCCTCGAACCTCTCCTCCTACGCTTCAAAATGACCAATAACTCTCCTGCTCTTGTTCCCATAATGTATGTTGCTAGAACTGGGGTTAGGTTAGGTTTCATTGCAGACAGTAAAATTTTTTTTTCTGGTGTACTGTACTTTGGCATTTTGTTTAAATCTGTCCTTCATTTTCTTTGGAAATTTCCCATTTCTTAGTAATATGTCTCTGCCATTATCTCATAAACGAGAATTATCCAAAGAAAATGAAGGTCAGATGTAAACAACACGCACCAAAATACTCCAGAAAAATATATTTCCCTGTAAAAAACAAAGGTATCATTAAAATGGATCTTTACCAAGAATATTTAGTGTTAAAATAAAAAGTTGTTGCCTATTTTAAAATAATTTCTGTAATGATAAGAACACCTGTGAAAAAAATTCACGAAATCGAACAACTCCTTCTGGTATTAGCCATTTGTTTCATTATTACCACCTTTTCTTCTTGACAAAAGTCTCTAGTCATTTAGTTTTGGTGCACAAAAATGCTTAATGGTAAATATTCATTTAGTGACTATGGCTCCTTGTTGTTATGCCTAAATACACACCAAAAAAAAATATTATCGGTCAATATTTAGAAGTTGCCACCACCTAACTGATTCTTAAAAATGGGTTTTGATAGTGCAAATGATTGTGTTAAATACAAATATGACCTTCATTGCAGTCAGAAATGAGCAGTAGCAGAGATACTGAAAAAAATTTGGAAGGTCAAACAATGTAAAAGCCTAAGAAACCTAACCTAACCCCTAATGTGTAAGAAACTTACCTTAAGTAAGAGATACAGGAGTAAAGAGTGATGAGACTTGAATGATGAAATGGTGTCTTCATCAATGTCCTTCTCTTATCACAGTACCATGCATGGTTATCTAAACATTACTGACAATGAATTACATCTCGGACACTTTACAGATGAAACAAAAAGACCATGAGCCCTAAAAATGATAACAGCTGCTGCTTTATTGTCCAAATTGTGCTGAATAATGCGGCAGCCAGCCAATGTACAGTTGCCAGCAAAAGTTCTCCCACAACCCTGTGTAGCAAGTTGTAGGAGGACTTTTGCTGGCAACTGTACATACACCTCACACAGATGCCATCTTCCAACTGGCCGCAAATGCCGAGCAGCTGATTAGTGCACGAGTATAACGTCACATCAGCACTCACGCTGATTGGCACGCACGACTATGATGTCACATCAACACTCGCACTGATTGGCCAAATATTATAAAATAAAAGTTAATATAACTCGAAAACTAAAAATTCCCGACGGAAAATTTTTAGAATACATTTTAATTTTTTTCTCTATCTCCCCATATTGACTCAATAATCAGTTAGGTAGTAGCAACTTCTAAATATTGACCCTATTCTCATAACAATTTCAACTTCTAAATAACTGTTGAAACCTAACCTAAGCAAACCTAACCTAGCAAATTTTCACTTGTTGCCACTATATGAAATCGAAGTTGATCATGTTTTTCCGGAAGTTTTTGAAGTGTTATGAATAAATTTGACATTAATTTCTGGCACAAATCAATAGTTTCTGAAATAAGCTCCTCCCCACACCCCATCCCATCTCAGAATCTTGAGATTTGCTTTAAAAATCAAAGTTAAAAGTGTACAAAACACATTGAAAACCATCTGAAAAACAGCTTTGAATATAATCTAATTTAATCTAACCTAACTAAACCTGGGAGCTCCACAGTCGTCCGATGTTCTGGGTGCATACAGCTATGTTGTTCAATGTTCTGGGTGTAAACGCTACATACGAACATTCATAATAAAATGTTAAATATATCACTTAAAACATAATTTACCCAAGAAATGCCATTGATGAAAAGGAGTCTTAGAATTGTTAAAACTACCGATTGTAAATATTAAATTCCCGAGATTCGTTTAGTGGCAACAAATGCAATACAATCCTCCCAAGCCTAACTTTAATAATCCTAGCATAACCAAATACAAAAATGTTGCCACGGCCATTAAACGAATGTTAACCCAATTAAGTACTGCCAGAGGTCTGTCCAGTATGATCCTCATGAACAGGAAAGGAGTTATAAATCTTATAAATGCTTTCTTGTGTTATCCTCGGTCTCCACACAAAGCTCAAGCTATGGAATCATGAGCAGTGTTGTGACGACACCGAGTGTGAGCTCTTTCAAGACCAGACTTGACAAGCACAGGAGCAGGTTCAGATACATTCAGGAAACAGTGCATGTCAAGTACTTGCCAACACAGCGTAATAGAGACGTGTCTGACGTGACCGACTGCCCAGGCGGCTAAAGAGCCGATCAGTGGAGAAGAGGATAAAACTCATGAACAGTACTACGGTCCGACTAATTACCCAAATATAGCCGGAATGAAGTCAAATAATGGTCCTAGATGAATAAATCGGACTGCCAATCACTTCTCGACTAGTATTTGGTGTCAGAAAGTCACAAAAAATTGGTAAACTTAATTTAATCTGAGTTGTGTTAGGTTAGGTACATGCACTCGATCTATTAACTCAGATTAAATTAAGTTTACCAATTTTTTGTGACTTCGTGACACCAAATACTAGTCGAGGTTAGGTGAGGTACATGCACTCGATCTATTAAACCAGATTAAATTAAGTTTACCAACTTTTTGTAACTTCGTGACACCAAATACCAGTCGAGAAGTGATTGGCAGTCCGATTTATTCTTGTAGGACCGTCATTTGACTTCATTGCGGCTACATTTGGGTAATTACTCGCTCCCTCGGTACATGCACGCGATCTATTAACTCAGATTAAATTACGTTTTCCATTTTTTTTTACTATGTGACACCAAATGCTAGTCGAGAAGTGATTAGCAGTCCGATTTATTCATGTAGGACCATTATTTGGCTTCATTGCGGCTACATTTGGGTAATTAGTTGGACCCCAGTGCACCAATACAATATATAAATAGAAAACGCATTGTGAGTTTCCTTTCTCCAACCCATCCTGAGTGTGACAACATCACGAAACCCCACAATACAAGAATGAAAAAAAATCAATAGCGAGAAACAATATATGTATGATGTGTTGTAATGTAAGAGAAACAATTGAGACCCTACAATTTTTAGTTTAGTTTAACAAATTTATTGGCAAAGCTTGTAATACAGTGTGGGGTATAGGATGTTTGGTTCACACTCAGGATGGAATGGAGAAAGGAAACTCACAATGTGCTCTCATGTATACATGTTGTATTGGATGTACAATGCAGCTTGGTGTTGGGAAGGCAGCATGGTTACAAGCGTGATGTAGAGAGAGCTGGTTGGTGAGGATGCTCAGAGGAGGACCAGCTTGTGGGTCGCCATGCTCGCCGGCGGGAGCGAGGGCCGCCAGGCAGCGGCGGAGGAGGAGGAGGTGTAGCTGGCTGGTTGGTGTAGGTAGAAAGAGACAGGTCACCACGAGGTCAGGTCTTAAATAGCGGGGGGTAGGCGTGGCTTAGTAGTTGACCCCCGCTCCGTGATGTATGGCGGCGCTGGTTGACCTAGACCACGAGGCATACACTGGGGAATTGGTGGGGTCGGCTACTCAGCGACAAACAGCGTTTGTAGCGGAGAAATCCACTACAACAGTTTGCCTATTCTGAATAATTCAGTCAGATCTTGACACTGAGGGTGGTATTGTAGCATACTGTATGTGGCCAGTTGTCAATTCTCTTAGTATGGGGACACAAACGTACGTACGCGTAGATATCTCACACTCAGGAATGAGGTAGAATAGAAACTCACAATGCACTAGCGTAGCTAGGGGGGGGGCGGGGGTGGCCCCCGGGCGGCACTTTTTTGGGGGCGGCACTTTTGGGTCTGCTCATCACCCATATCTGCAGCTACTGGAGACGTTAATCCTTCCCTTTGTATCGGCGGCAAGTTAATCCTTGTCGTGTCTGACCTAACACCTGACCCACATCATCACGGCCACGTCATGAGCTACGTACACCCTTGCTATGCGCCCCCCCCCGCCACACACACAACCTGTAACCTGTTGAGGATTAAGGAAACAACTTCAAACAAGTACGCCAGTGAGCTCATGTGGTGTGGGTCAGGTGTTAGGTCAGACACGACGAGGATTAACTTGCCGCCGATACAAAGGGAAGAATTAACGTCTCCAGTAGCTGCAAAACCATGCAGTCTCGGGTCATATCAGTTCATGTACAGCCGACCAATCCACCAGTTACAAGCAATTCACTTCAGTTCTGCACAAGTCTCCATCGTGACAAGACGAGGGGAGGCTAGACGACTTTTAAGTTCTCTTGTGTTTTCGATCCAGTTATTTACTTCGTTGGAAGACATAATACTATAAGGTAAGAAATATTAAAGTATTGGTTAAAAAATATTGATGTGACTTTTGCTGCGGTACTGAGATTAAATATTAAGATTTTGTTTCACAGCATTGCGATTTTATACTAAGACACTATCCTCACTGGGGTACAGACAAAAGCCCCCCCGAAAAAAAGCCACCCAGACAACAGCCCCCCAGACGAAAGCCACCCAGACAAAAGCCCCCTACTTTGATCGGGGTGGCTTTTGTCTGACAACAGTAAGGCAAACTATTTAATAAATATATATATATATATATATATATATATATATATATATATATATATATATATATATATATATATATGTGTGTGTGTGTGTGTGTGTGTGTGTGTGTGTGTGTGTGTAAACCTCACTTGTCGGGAATCGAACCCTGGACCTCTGCATGTGTTCTGACCTCACTAGGGGAAAGGTCACGGCAGGGTTAGCTCCAGAGGGATAATTATCAGATATGGCCAGTGATATGTGCGGTCTTGGGTATGAGAGTTTGTTGACCAAACTGGAGTGGTCCACTGAAGAATTGGCGAGGGCCAAGTTAGAAATTGAGAGGGCCACGTTGGAGAACCTGAAATTAAGGAAAGAGCTGGCGAAGTTAAAAGGAGAGGCTGGACGAGTAAAGCCAGTGTCTGACGAAAAATCAAACGAGTGGAAAGTCGTGAGTAGTGGGAGGACCAAGCTGGTGGTGAAGAAGCACACGAAGGATACGACAACAACGACAACAACAGCTAAGTGTACCAACCCGTTCAGTCCCTTGATAGACGAATTGGACGTTAGTACAGTCAGGGGCAGGGATGACAAGGAAGGTATAAAAACTTTAATTGTTGGTGACTCACAGGTAAGGTACATGGACAGGGCCTTTTGTGGTAAAAACAAAAATAGGATGAGGGTGTGTTTGCCAGGGAGCTGGGGTGGGGGATATAATTGACAGGATGGACAATATCTTGTCTGGTAATGGGAACAAACCCATTATCTGCCTCAGTGCAGGAGGCAATGATATTGGCCGGTGTAGGAGCGAGGAGCTTCTCGATAAGTTCAAGGCAGCCATAGATCGTATTAGGACTAAGGGAGGGATCCCTATCATATGCTGTGTCCTGCCTAGAAGGAGAGTTGGCAGTGAATGGTTGTCAAGGGCAGTTGGTGTTAACGACTGTCTTGACAGATATTGCAAGTCAATATCAGTCCCATTCATTGACAACTGGGACAACTTCTATGGCAGAAGGGACCTTTATGCTAGGGATGGGGTGCACCTGTCTAGGGATGGAGTAGCAACCCTGGCTGGGGCTCTAGAGGGGGCAGTTCAAAAGATATCGAAGTCTTTAAACTGCTAAGAGAACATAGGGGCACGGGGGTGGAGGAGACTGCAGTGGGAGCAGGTAAACAAGGCGAAAGATTACAGGGAAATAGTGTTAGGAATGATGACAAAACTAAATTAGACAGGGAGTTTAAAACTAAACGCGGTAAGGGAAGGACTCAGAACACGACTAACTTAAATGTATACTACGCGAACAGTAGAAGTATGAGAAACAAAATGGATGATATTAAGGCCTTGGTATGTACCGAAGAAATCGATATAATTGCATTCACTGAAACATGGATCAACCTAGACACACGTGAATTACCAGTCGAATACCAAATTGCGGGTTACAAACTGTTCCATACCAATAGGCAGACCAGGAAAGGAGGCGGAGTAGCAATCTATGTTAGGGATAATCTGAAGTGTGAAATAAATAAGGAAATAAAAACTGAGAGGAATACAGAAACAATTTGGATAGAATTAAGCGATGGTCAGGAAAAATTAATCACAGGAGTAATATATAGACCCCCCAATCTTGATAGCGTCAATGAGCGACTTATCTGGGATGAAATGCGCAGGGCTTCCATTCACAACAAAGTCTGTATAGTAGGCGACTTTAACCTTGGCCAAATAGATTGGACTGTCCTTACGGGTATCTCAGAATCAGAGGATTTTCTCGAGACGATCCAGGACTGTTTCCTAAGTCAACATATAACCGAACCCACACGGGGTAATAATATATTGGATTTAGTTCTGGCGAACAGAGAAAACCTCATTAGCAATGTCGAGGTAGGGAACGAACTTGCAAACAGCGATCACAAAGAAATTCGATTCCAGTTAGATTTTCAGGGCAGACGTAAGGAAAATTCCACTAAAGTATCAGATTTCAGAAGGGCAAACTTTGACAGTTTAAAGAGGCAGCTGAGAGAGGGGGTGTCGCGCTGGGTGAACCTGACAGATGACACCGACCTGATAACGAGATCTGAGATTGTTGAAAGTTCCACGACAATTTAAATAGTGA